CAACTCGGTCATTTCCTTCGTTGAATGAACCGAATGACACGAAAAAAGATTTGTTTATTTTGATGAACGAGTTCGAACAGGAGAGTCATGAACGCGCATCATAGAAGAGAGCAAGGAGACCATTTGAGCTTATAAAACTTAAACTTTGTTATTTTGTTTTTTAAATGAGCGATCGATTCGCTTGATAAGACCCTTATTCGTCGTCTGGAATCGTTTAAAGCCCTTTGAACAGTTTGCACTGAAACTGTCTTTGGGACCTTTGGTTCCCATTGAAGTCCATTATATGGAGAAAATTGCTGGAATGCTGGAATTAATTTCTTTTCGACTGAAGAAAGAAAGACGTGGATATCTTGGATGACATGGGGGTGAGTAAATTATCAGAAAAAGTTTTTTTAAAAGTGAAGTACTCCTTTAAATAGCACTAGTTGTGATTTGGTCATTATGTTCATCATTATGACGAGACTCGTATCTCATTATCAAAGGTTTCCGCTGGGATCTTTTGGAATCAGAAACATCATTGTTGGCACTGTAACTCAGTTCTCGTCCAAAGAGGAGCTGAGAGAGGTTGGTTGTTTATTCGTTGTTTAGAGGGAATGATCAGCTTTGATGGCTTATTTACAGTGTTTCTATTCATTATTGTTGTGTTAAGGTTGAGGCTTTCTTCAAGTCCATCACAGAGCAGGTATCTCAGCTGCGTGTCACACAGGTTGCAACAGAAAACTTGCAGAAGAACATTGTGTGGCTCAGAAGGAATCTAGAGACCATGAGGACTTGGTTGCAGCAAAGACTCAATTAAAACGTTAAAAGCAGATCAACATTTCAGACTAGAATTATTTTAGTATAATGGTTTTAGTATGACTTTACAAGTTTTGTATTATTTTGCCTTTTTTTTAGATTGTATTTTAATTACATTGGGTAACGGCTTGAATAATGCATGATGTGTTTGCTTGTTTGCTTTTTTTAAACATGCAGCTATGCAGTTTCAAACCACTAATGGTTTTGCCTTTGTGTTTTTCTTTGCCTTTGATACTGTATGTCTCTTGACAGCTGTGCCACATTTTGTAACTAATGATAATAGGAGACTGCCTATTAATTAGTAGCACAAAATCATACTTGAAGGTGCTGAAAATGAATGTACTGAATAAGGTTTGAAACAAAAATAAATAATAAACATGTTTTATATATAAGGGTCTAGCCTAAAAACAAAAATGTGTTCTTATGAAACATGACAATGACATGAAATGGATTAATTGAAGTATATACATGATTTTTTTTTTTAAGATGGCAGTCCATTTAATTTTAATTTAGGCCTACTAAAAAATAATAATAATAATAATAATAATAAAAAGAAACATTTAGGACATTTATCACTTGACCTCCACTAAGCTTTTGTTATTATCACAATCATTTCCATACACCGCAAAATGATGTATCAGCAAGAATAATTAGATGAAGAATAATTTATGCTCAAAACACTGTTGAATGTTGGCTAAATAGCATGAGGTATATCATGCAGACATTAAAGGGGTATTGAGCTGCATTTTTTTTTAAGTTTAATGTTCTTTGAGATCCAATTATAATATCAGCAAGATTCTTACATTAAAAAAAAAACAAAAAAAAACATCATAATATAAAAGTAAAATTCTGTTTTCCCATCATAACGGAGAGTCTGATCTTCACCCGCACTACCCCCTCCCCGGTGCCGGTGCGGTGTGTCAGTTTCTCTGAATCAGAGAGCGGCTCGCGGACTCCTCCTATTTTTTAGCTCTGGAATAACAATGTACACTGGGGAGCATATCTCATAAGTCAGAGACGTATGCAATTAATGCCACCCAGAGGGGGGGACTTATTAGAGAATACACATATGACCCTAGGGAAGCATATGGGAAACACTGGGGTGTCCAGCCACAGGTGGAATATTTCAACCCCAGGGGTGGCAAGGTGGCTTGCCAAGGGAAAAAGACATATGCTCGGAGAGACTGACAGTGGAAATACACATGTGGGGGTTGTTGGATATCAGGTGTTAATTGTATCCAAAGTTTTGTTGGAGTTCCCGAAATTTGATGGCGTGTCTGATTAAAACACATGGAAAAATACCAGTCTTTTGCTCTCTTTTATTTTAAGTTCAGGATGATAAAGTCTTAGGTAATTCACATGGAACTGATACACGATGCCAATAGACAGATGTTAATGGATGGACAGGATGTACAAGATGGTCTTTAGTCACTACAATACAATAAAGGAAATTAAACTCATAATTCATCAGTAAACATATCAACAACATATACTCATTTACATACACACACACACACACACACACACATATATATATATATATATATATACATTGTTTATATCTAAACAATTGGAAAAAAAAAAAAAAAACTTATTCAACAAATCCTAAGGAAAGGACATGGTTGGACATGTCTCCCTCCACCCTGAAGGCAGACCCAGCCTTAGGTTCTGCGCTGGTGACCAACTTCTATGCGAATGGGGTTTCGCTTAGATATTCATCCGTCGTCATCCGAAGGAACGTCTCCGCTCCCTACTCAGGGAACGAGGGTTCTAGTCAGGAAGCCAATGTCTCAAAAATGGGTTGGACCTGACATGGTCTGCCATACTTTTTATTTTGTGTGGGTTTTTTTTTTTTCTGTTAACTTTAACCCTAATAACAAATAATTGGAGGGTCTGCTCTGCCGTAAATATCCCGAAAAACAATTCTGGCCTTTTTAGTGTATGCACCCTTTATTTTTTATCAGAAAAAAAGCATTCCAGATACATATATGTGCTGACAACATCCACTGAAAAAAATAATTCTTAAAACACAATAATAGCAGCCTTGCATGGCGAGCAAAAGAGACCTGTTTTAAAAAGGATGTTGATTAGCACTGCATTATTCTTATACTTTATTGTTAATAAATAGCTTGAGACACAGTAACACTCAGACTGTAACATGCCAATACTCTCGTGTAATGTGTGTAGGACAGGCCCGAATGAAACAGGCTACTACATTACACTAGTGTTAGCATTGCATAATGTTTAGATCGCCTCGTTTTGGATACAAATAAAACAACAGGTCATACAGTACATAGAACATCTTGACTATCTCCTTTAATTTAAATCTAGATGTATTCAAATTGGCCTCTGCTTAAATACACTCCCCTCTCGTATTCGGCCAGATTAGCTGTATAAACAGTAGATGTCAATGGAATTTCCCCATAGAGAGCCAAGTAGGCCTAAAAAATGTGTGAGTGAGGACTCTTTACTGTCGCTAGGAGGCAATATTGCTTTACTTCAGTACATAATCCTAGGCTAGCTGTCAACTGTGTCCATAAAAACATAAATAAATTAAATAATTCGCATACAAAGTATTTTAGGAATTTTAATAGAATTAGCCTACATTTTCCCTTCCATTCTAGGCTAAAGGCCAATTTATACTTCTGCGTAGGGTGCGCGCTGTAGGTACGGCGTAGCATACGCACAGACGCGTCCCATACCGCGTACCCTTCGCCGTCGCCTGACGCGCACCTCCTCAAAAATGTAACTACACGTCGCGACGACGCGGACCGCAAGATCGGTGATTGGTCGGCTTGGTAGCATCGCATTTCCTCCTACGCATTTCCGCACGTACCTTCTCACGCATTTCCACCACTGTCTATGATTTCCACAAGTTTCATCTCCTCCGAAGTCTTCTCTCATTTCTGCCTTTCAGTTTTAGTAATTTCACTAAAGTGAACTGTTTTTCCACCTTAATAAGCTCCAACTCCAACATGATCAGCTCTCTTTCACTCGTAGTAACCTAGCCGCGAGGAATCTAAACACAGTGGAACATTAAAACTCTCCGCCGCCAACTAGCGTTTCGGAGCAGTACTGCAGAGCAACCAAGACCTGAACGCAGAAGTATAAATGCTCACAACGGCGTCGCCTACGTGCGTAGCCAACGCCGTACATTACGGCGTACCCTTGACGCAGAAGTATAAATTGGCCTTAATTGTAAATAGCCTAGCTTACTTGTAAATAGCCTAGCTTCATAATAAATAAAGCCACATAATTACGAACCAAGTAATTATTTTTATACCTATTTATTAATCTGGTGATATGGTGGTTTATCAGTAGGCCAAGAATGAACTGTTTTAACTGTAGGCCTGTTTAACTGTAGATACATCTGTTTATTGAGGAGGACTAGGCCTACTGTGAAAACAGATCATAGCCTATATTGCTAGACTGCTGTAGAAAACAATGACCCAACTATTTATCACGGTTCCACTGCACAAATGTGCTGCACACTGCAAGCTCTTGAGAATACACCAGCTTATTGTAGTGTTTTTTCAGAGAGTGAAATAGTTTGCATGTGAATGTGATTGCCCAAATTGCTGAACGTTGACGCTATTACGGGTGTTCTTGTTGAGCATGGCAGTCTGTCTTAGCGCATGGAATCTGCAAACCATTTAAATCATCAGGAATATGGAGCTATTGGTATGAATTAATCTTTTCATGATTTTTTTTTAATACGTATATTTTATGTTATGTTTCACAGGCTAAGTTTTAATCAAATTTATGTACATTTTTAATTCAACTTTTTTACTTTCTGTGTGATTATATGCAAAGCTGTCATTAATGAGGATAAAATGGATCAATATGCCAGCCAGTCTTTGAGTGCAGCGGCAGTGCTGGCTTAAAGGGGCAGCTCACCCAAAATAATGTGACTTCCTTTCATTTTCGCAGCATTATGCTAGGTGGCATATAGGTAGGCTAATCAGAATCAGAACAATACGAATTAGATTTAAGTTTACCAATCCCACACACTCCACTGTGACACACAGGTAAAAAAGAAGGAAAGGAAAAAAAAAACAAAACATGAGAGTAAAATAAAATAAGACAAGTGATAAATAGTGTGTTTGGAATTCCACATGTTGTTTTTCTATACTCACTTTCCCCCATATTTATCATTAAAGTCATTCGGGTTCGTAATGACGGAATGTCCATTTGTTGGTGAACTGTCACTTTAAACGGTGCAGCTGAATGGGGAAGTAACACTCGTGTTGCATGTTTCGCAGCAGTGATTGCCACTTTTAGCTTGTGTTTCTGTTATATCGAAAAACAATGTGCATCGACGGCTCAATAAACCGCTGATCGATCATTTTACTGCTGTGAAGTGGCAGAACTGTAGATCAGGATAACAATGCTAAGCTAGCAACAGTTGATCTGATGCGTTCCTGCGTTGAGTGAATGTGTTACTCTTCACCTCTCTCGGGATTAAACCTCCGCACTTTCCGCTGAAACAGGATTTCTTTTTACTTCAGACCTACATTTAATCATGGATGCTTTTGAAAGCGGTAAGGCTGCAGCTAATATGGACTCTTCATTTAAACGAAAGGTCGTGCACCTCAAAAAAAGTTATCGGCTAACATGCTACTACAGCTAGCCGCTTCGCTTTTTATGTATATGCAAAATAATTTTCTCAAGTACTCCTCATGTATTGTGATAACATGTTTTTATAATGGTCCGTCCAATTCACATTTAGTTATCGAGCTGGTTTGATTAAGTAGTCAAATGTAACATTCAAAGTTCATGCTGGCTAACAGACAATATTTAAATAGCCATTAGTTCATCTGCGTCGACAGGACCTCTGATTAAATTAAATTGTATCTTTGTTTATGAGGGGAAGTAAATATAATCAGTGGATTAGATCAGTCATTTATTTGTTTTGGTGACTGTCATTCACGTGATCTCTCACAATGTTCTGCTGTCAGCATCCACATTTGACTTTATATTCCCTTCAAGTCATCATCACTGATCTGATTCTAGTCTAGTGCATCAAGGCCTAAATCTCCAGAGTCCCAGGGTTCATGCTTTGCCCAAAATATTGTCCTAATCTATCTTTGCAAGGTGACATGTGCTGCTTTGTGTTTTTATGGTAACTTACTGCACATGTGTGACACACAGGCCAGCTGGTTGTCACTTTTTACTACTGTCTTTGCTTATCTCCTAGTTTAGTTAGCCTAAAATAGTTCCTGTGTTGTCTGTCAATGACAGCAAAAGCACGGAAAAAAAAATGTTCTTGTTGACTTCCTGAATGAGAATTTGGCTGTTAAAAGTTTCGCTCATAAAAACTGTCAAGAGCATATTATTTGACTCATTTTTAACGCGTTTGTTTAAAGCAGTTATTTTAGAAGCATCACGGTTGTTTCATGGATTACAATTAAGCACAATATCCTTACTGTTTTTGTTACTATAATAATTACTGTTACATGGTCGCGCGCAATAAACAAACAACAACAACAAAAACCCTCATATGTCAGAATCATACAAAGTGATGAGAATCACCACTCGGAATGAGTCGTATGTGTGGTAATGTTAATTTGAGTGCCAAAATGTGATATCAAGCTAGGATGAAAATGATTATGTTGGTCATACTTCCAAAAAGTAAAATTGATTCTGAATGATAGTATCCACACCGGCAACGTGACTGACAGCTGCACATTCTCCTCAAAATATTGGCTTCACCTGCGCTGTTCCTGTGCCGAGGTACAACTTGCGTAAAGTTGATAATTCACAAATAACTGCAATTGCAGATTTCGAACAGAGATGGCGATAAAAAGGAAAAACGGGGGACACCAGCTTTAATGAATTTTTTGAGGACTTATTTTTAACTTGCATTTGTTTGCCTATAATATGAGGGTATGTTTACATGACAATGATTTTCAAAAAAGCAGAAAAGTTTTTCCTTTGCTGTTTTTGAAAAGTTTCGCGTAAAGGCGACAACGTTGTCAAAACAGATCCATGAAAATGACTAAAAAACACTGCGTTATGCATGCCAGGCTAATTTCACCTCGTATGGAAACACTAAGCACACAATACTAAGCATTCTTCTACAGAGCGGTGAATACAAACGGAAAATCTATACTTTGCTGGATAAGCGTAATTTCTAAAGTCCACCATTGTTGTTTTGGTTGTCAAGTTCTTGCGAATGCCTTAGACTGAACATGTAATATGCATGCGCATGATGGCACTGTTTTAAACATTTTTGTAGAGTTGATACATGGAGTTGATTACGGTATCATTTTTTTCTCGAAAGTTTCTGTTTTCAGGCCTCCAAATGCATAAAAATGTGTCAGTTTTAGTTGAAAACAGGATTGTGTAAATGCCTCCTTAGTTTATGCTGTAGTATCAAAATTGCTATCAAGAATTGTGAAATTTCACTAGCATCTAAAATGTTGGTATCATAACAGTCTTATTTCCTGTAAAATATACCTCACTTGATGTATATCGCTATCGTGAAAACAAAATTATTCGGATAAGGTTTTGGTCAACTCTTTATCATGTAATAATCATGATAACAATATTGACTCAAATAATAGTAATTATAATTTTTGCTCTAATCGTGTGCAGCCACTTACTTGAGATCTCAGCAACAATTCATTGATCTACTAATTCCAAATGAACAAAATCATTTTCTCATTTGAGAAGTCATTTCACTCAGATATGTGTCACAATAGGGAAGGAAAGACGATGTCAACTTCCGCTCCATGCCGACTTTAGCTGACATAGGCTAATTATGGCATCTTAAAGTAGACAGTCTTGAAAAAATAGGCAGCATTTTAATCACATATGCAAAATATATTGTTAATTTATTAAATATGTTCTTGATATGTTGCTGTGAGATTTATTAACTTAAGGAATTGTAGGAAGTGTTTGCTTGTGACTGAATCGTCACTCTGAACTGTGCTAAACGATAAATCAGGCATGTTGTTGTTAAAAAGAAGTTGAAATTCGGGCCACTTGAACAAGTGTCTTTGTGCAGCAGACCTGAGTTTGACCTCAGGTCAGTAGGTAGGACACATTGGTGGTGTCAAGCAATGTGTTAAACAGTAATTTTAATTTGATCACTGTAAACTTAGTGCCTTGATTTGTTATTGGATTACTTTAGTCTAATTCTCTGTGAAAGGAATAAAAGAGGAACACTGTGGTCACTTTATTTTCTATCAGGCTATGCAGACAATAGTTTAGCAACACTCAATGTCTGTGCCTGTGATCATGGGTGGAAGTATTTACTGAACTGAATCCTAACGATTATCTTAAGATCAAATGTTGAATCGATGATCAAAAATGCTCAGAGATGCATGGAAAATTGCTTTTCTTTCATCTTTAGTTTCACTTTCATTCGTTTTCTTCCTTTTACACTCTGACTTAAACCACTTGTGTAGGCTGATTTCAAAATCACTCAAGTTTTCAGAAAGGCTCTTGGTTATTTTAGACGGCATCACTCTTGTAAACAGGAAGCCACCTCCAGCAACCGTGCTTTTGTATTCACTTATGTTGTATGTTGCTACTCTATCTTACAGAAAGAGCTCCCCTGCCAAGGAACATGATTGAGAACAGCATGTTTGAGGAAGAGCCAGATGTGGTGGATTTGGCGAAGGAGTCCACTTCCTACCCCATCGACTCAGATGATGTAGTCTATGAACCCCGCAGCTCGCGACTTTTAGTCCGAGGCCTTGGGGAAAACGACCTGGACGAAGACGAGGAAGACTACGAATCCTCCGCCCGTCTTCTTGGCATGTCCTTCATGAACCGTAGTTCCAACCAGCGCAGCGCTGCCTCATCCTACACCCGCCACCAGCCTTCCGGATTGTGCTCGATGCCTTCAGCTAAGACTACGGTGGTAGGTGTTCTCCTCCTGGTTGTGGTGGTCTCCATAATCATGGTCATTTACTTCGTTCCAGGCTGCACTTTCACCAGAACGGGGTGCCAAAAGGCAAATTCAACCATGGAGAGAATCTATCCAATTTCTACAAGTGATGAACTTTTCCCATGGACAGAGTTGAGGTTACCATCCAGTGTGCATCCAGTGCATTACGATATTTCACTCCATCCCGACCTGAAGAATATGACCTTCAAAGGCAGTGTGTCAATCAAAGTGAAAGTGTTACATGAAACGAAGATTATTGTCCTGCACAGTTCTGATATGAACATAACAAAGGCCACTTTCCAAGATGAAGTGGTCCACGTCCTGGAGTACAAACCTTGGCAGCAGATCGCCATCAAATTTCCAGAAGATCTTAAGAAGGGGCTATATGTTTTGAACATTAACTACACAGCAAACTTCTCCAACAGCTATGATGGCTTCTACAACAGCTCCTATGTCGACATAAATGGTACAAAAAGGTATTTGCAGTCAAATTCAACTTTATGTGTCCTTCTGAATATTTAGGATACATTTGAATGAACTAGTCTGCTTATGTGTGTTAAATTACATTTACTTCTACTTGTTTATATATCGTTATGCCTCTCCAACACTTCTTTTAAATTACTTCATCTTTCTTTCTAGAGTTTTGGCCGCTACTCAGTTTGAGCCCTTGGCAGCCCGCAAGGCTTTCCCTTGTTTTGACGAGCCAGCTTTTAAATCAACTTTTCGAATTAAGATTACCAGAGAATCCAAGTATATCAGTCTTTCAAACATGCCCAAGGTAGTTTTGCTTGTTTGTTTCGTTTGTTTATTTACTGTTTTTTCTTCTTTAAATGATGTGGCTAAGACATAAAATCTTTAAATTGCTGTGTATGAGTGTGCTCTCGAAGATGTGGTTTATGAGGACATGTGTATAATGATTGTGTATACACTACCGTTCAAAAGTTTTTTTGTTTTTTGGGGGAAAAAAATACTTTTATTCAGCAAGGATGCATTAAATTGATCAGAAGTGATAGTAAAGGTAATAGTAATAGTAAAGGTTGTTAGTAAAGTAAATTCTATGATGTCTGGGAAAAAAAAAATATATATATTTATTTAAATTTATGCTGTTCTTTCCATTAATTTTTTTTTATTCATAAAAGAATTAAATTACATTTTAAAATATATTACAATAGACGAATGATATTTCACACTACTGTTTTTACATTACCTTCACATTACTGTTTTTAATGTATTTTTGTTCACACCTGTTCTTACATTAAATCTTGGTGAGCATAATCAAGTTATTTCAAAAACATAAAATATTTCTGATCCCAAACTTTTGAACGGTATTGTGTATATATTTGCTTTATAAAACCTTGTCAGATTTTTTTTTTTTAATGTCTTTTTCTTTTGATAATTTTATAGTTTTGTATTTGTATTGTCCATACATTTTTGTTAAATTTTTTCTTAAGGTCAAAACCACGGATTTTAAAAATGGCCTTCAAGAAGACGAGTTTAAGGAAAGTGATACAATGAGCACTTACCTGGTTGCATTTATTGTGGCTGAATTTAGTAGTTACAGCAGGAATGTCTCTGATACGACGGTATGTATTCTTCTCAAAATTATTGTCTTTTGTTGAAAATATTCTGAAAACATATTGCATTATGGTATAGTTTTTTTTTTTTTTTTGTTCTCTTCAAATGTTGTGCAGGTGTCTGTGTATGCCATTCCAGACAAAAAGGAACAAGTGCATTATGCTCTGGATAGCGCTGAAAAACTGTTGAAGTTCTACAATAATTTCTTTGAGATCGACTACCCATTAAGCAAGTTAGGTAAGACACCATTCCTTACAAAAACTCTTCAAACAGGGATTATTAGATTCCTAGAATAGCCGAATGTACACACTAATGTAATTTGGCCAATAACAGACTTAAAAATATTTAATCGTGTTGCCTTACATGACCACGTTTTCTTTTCAATCAATAGATTTAGTGGCCATTCCTGACTTTCTCGCTGGAGCCATGGAGAACTGGGGACTAATCACATTCCGTGAGACAACTTTGCTAGTAGGGAATAATTCCTCCCCTCTTGACAAGCAACTGGTGACTTCTGTCATTGCTCATGAACTTGCCCACCAGGTAATTCACTTTACAAGTAAAGAAACATTCTCATGACAGGGTAATAATAGTCACGTTCAAACGGTTTATAACTATTACTGGTAAAAGCAGACATTTGGCATTATCAGACATACACACACATTATATAAATACACACATGCATGTATATATTTAAGAAATATTGGCATGTATATACTGTATATATATTTATACAATTTATATTATATAAATATTTTATTTATATGTAAATAAAAAAGAATCTTAAATATATACATGCATGTGTGTATTTATATATTCGAAATAATTATACACAGTACACACACACATATATATTATGTAAACATAAACTTTTATTTTGGATGCGATTAATCGTTGCCCATCACTAATAGTAATATAAAATACAAATTATAAATCGCAAATGAATTCTTTAAGTTCTAATAAAAAGAAAAGGCGAGTCAGACATGCTATGTTCATTATGTTGTTTTTCTCTTCAGTGGTTTGGAAATCTGGTGACTATGAGGTGGTGGAATGATCTTTGGCTGAATGAAGGATTTGCAACCTACATGCAGTACATGTCGATTAAATATGTGTTCCCAGACCTTGACATAGTAAGTTTTAGACTAAATTAGGAGAAATATCCTTTAGCTCTTTCAGTATGTTATTTTTTGTTGTTTGAATGTGTCTATATTTAATCTTGTGTTTTTCATTTCCAGGGCACTGAATTCTTAAATGTTCGATTTAAAGCACTAGCCAAAGATGCATTGAACTCGTCCCACCCAGTGTCTACTGTCGTGAGCACCCCAGAGCAGGTTGAAGAGATGTTTGACTCTGTGTCTTATGAGAAGGTATATCATACATTAGCTATTACCAGTTTTCAAAAAGAGTGTTGATCAAGCCAATGTAATTATTTTCATTGATTGTTATTGATTGTATATCTATTCGCATAACTTGTTTCTTGATCATGCAAGGGTGCTTCAATACTGCTGATGCTCAATGCAACCCTCACAAATGGGGAGTTTCGAAAAGGAGTGATTGAATACTTACTGAAGTATAACCGATCAAACACAGAAAGCGAAGATTTATGGAATAGTCTTTCTCAGGTCAGACTTTTTTTTACTAGATTGAATTTAAAACACTGATTGCTTTTCAACATTCATGATAACAAATCAAATTGTGTGTGTGTCATGCATACAGTTACTATACTCGAAGGGATACTCCACTTTTTTTGGAAATAAGCTAATTTTACAACTCCCTCAGAGTTAAACAGTTGAGTTTTACCATTTTTTAATCCATTCAGCCCATTTTCTGATATTTAGAAGAATGTCAGTAAACAGACAGTTTCTGGTCTCATTGACTTCCATTGTATATATTTTTTCCTACTATGGAAGTCAATGAGACCAGAAACGGTCACTGATATTCTTCTAAAAATCAGAAAATCGGCTGAATGGATTCGAAAACGGTAAAACCCAACTGTTTAACTCTGAGGGAGTTGTAAAATGAGCCTATTTCCAAAAAAAAGTGGAGTATCCCATTAATGAAAAAGCAACTGAGCTAATATCTGAGCCATGTTTTTATTACCGCACACTGACATCCATGTTCTCCATAGGTGAGCAAACAAAATTTAAGTGTATCTGAGATGATGAACACTTGGACTGTTCATAAGGGCTTTCCTCTGGTCACAGTGAAGAGGAATGGAACTCAAGTGACATTGTCACAAGAACATTTCCTTCTGAATGCTGAAAACAGCACAGACTACAGGTAAAGGATTTTAACAGTAAACATTTATCTAAAAATGTTTTGTAATGAATAAGGGCAAGATTAGATTCGTTTGCTGTTGGTTAGTAATATTCTTTAGGCTTTTTTTTCTTCTTTAGGTACCACGCGTTGCGGAAATTAAGTGACACTTGAGTATCAGTCGCACCGGGTCAATTCTGTCATCATTTACTCATTACTCACTCGTGTCATTCCAATTCTGCAAGACTTTAATTCATCTTTAAAACACAACTGAAGATTTTTTTAAATAAAATCTTAGCCAGTTATTTACCCTCCATTTTTGACACTTCAGAAAGTTAAGAAATTGTAAATCAAATCCAAATGCATTGAGTGATTTAGTCAGAATTTGAGGAGACACGATCACTTTATATGATGAACAGATTTAACTTAGGCTTTTATTCCCATTTAAACATTGATCAGCAAACATAAACAGAAGCTCACCTGAACCTGCCTGACAATCGAGAACAAACCTCTTGAAACTCAAACGTGCTGCGTAACAGGAAAATGAACCTCATTGGTTCTTGAGGAAGCTCAAACTTTCTGCGTAACAGGAGAATGAACCTCACTGGTTCTTTTGGACGCTCAAACATGCTGAGTGTCTTGAGAATGAACCTTATTGTTTCTTGCTGAAGTGCAAGTGTGCTGCGTAAAACATTGGTTCTCACACGTCAAGCGAACATGCTTGAGCTTCCATTTACTTTAACTGATATGCGAGTTGATGAATGTTGGAAAAAAGACTAAATAAAATTTTTTCAGCATATCCACAAGTTTCCTAAGCCCTATGAGGCCTTGCGTCAAAAGTGGGCGCGACTTCCGGTTGGAAGTAAACAAAGCGCGATTTGACATGCTTGACACTCGTTCATTCAACAGCTGACAGTCATTCAAGTTATAGCGATCCAAACTAGCTAACGATGTGGGAACACAACCTCAACGAAATTCAAAAGGGTGAAATAACAGTACCTTTACCTCCGCACTAGTTGATTGGGAGTATTATAATAACATTATTAATAATCAATACTCATCAAGGCATGGTGACAGACAGTTGTGTGAGCTGACAAACAATTAAAATAAAAAATACACACTTAGTCATTGTGCTTTGGAGTTTATTCAAAATTATAAATGAATGTGCTACTTGAATACATTAACTGGCACATTTGGTATTCTGTCAACACAGGCTTTGATCCTGAGTTTAGGTGTAACATCAGTAGCGAACAGCCAAACACATGCTGATAGAGTTTATAGAACATTAAGAATTTAAACAAATGTACACAGGAAGATTCGTCGTCTTTTGGGCGGTGATGGAAACTACAGTCGTTGACAGGATCACTCTGATTTCGTTTTCAGCTTATGTTCAAAACAATCCCGTTTAAGCCACTTAATTAGTTTAGTCCGGCTATACAACCGCGAACAGCACATGTTGTCCCTGAGCTCCGCAACGACATCTCTCATAAAGATTTGCGTCTTTAAATAGTAAAATAATTCTCAGAAAAACAGCTAGCCTCTTCGCTAACTAACACACAAAATACCATTGGAATGCTACTTCCGCCGCGTCACCGGAAGTTTCACCCACTTTATTTTTTACAGGAGCGCCCCTCGGAAACTTGTGGATAAAGCGATCGAGTCTCTTCGACCTCTCAATAGAGTGCCGAAGTGATGACGTCAATTTGTAGGACAACTCGGAAGCTAGCAGCGCATGGGTTCCCTCGGTCGAAAAGCAATGCATTTTCCCCATAGACTTTTGGAAAATCGCAAAAAATAAGATCTGTGTTTAACAAAAAGTAGTGACACTTACACGTTTTGTCTATCAAGATAATCTTTACAAGTTAATCCAAAATGTTTACATTTTGAAACCTATATAAAGATTTTAAAAAACACAATCAGACACAATAAAGTTTTAAAAAACCACAATCTGGTTATAACTGTGCGTTCTATGTCATAGATCAAAACGTGAAAATATTTAGAGGTTTTGTTCACCACAGACATTATTTCAGGCGATTTAGCAAAAACCCATTCAAAAATCCCATAGACTTTAGAGCGAGGGAACCGGTAGTGCTAAAATGCTAACTCACTTCCGCGTTTTGGCCTACAGAGTGACGTCGTAACTTCGGCACTCTATTCATATGGATTAGGACAATAAAATGGACATATGGAGATTTTTCGATCTCTTTGAAGCGTCAAAGTGGTAGTTGCGTGGCTGACAATTGAGAGACTGAAAAAATCTTCATTTGTGGTTTGTAATGAAATGAGAGTGAGTAAATTAGACAGAATTTATTTTTTTGTGGGTGAACCAAACCTTTAAAAGAATAAACAAAGATCACATCGGTGTAAAGGTCATTCTTTTGTTTCTCTTGGAAAAACCAGAACATAAAATGGAACGTTTACAAAAATAGTGGCTGTAAAGACATTTATAAAGATTTCTATTTCAAAGACACACTGTTCTTTTGGAAGTTTTATTTATTCACAAAGAAAATGTATCTTGATTTTCACACAAAAATTAATCACCACAACTGTTTTAACAAAGATAATGATACGAAATGTTTCTTGAGCTGTAAATCAGCATATTAGAATGACTTGTGAGTGATCGTGTGACACTGAAGACTGGAGCACAGCTGTGGCCAAAAGTATTGTCAGTGACAAAGTTTTCTGCTTTAGTTGTTGTGTTTATTCACATTGATTCTGGATTATTGTGCAGAGTGATCGATGCATTTTAAATAATTGCGACACGCTTAACAATACACAAAAGATCATTTCACTAGCATTCACATTTCATCATCAGCACATGCGGAAGTGTGAACAAGTACTAGTCATGTGATATCACTCCAATGAAAGGCTTATTATCATTATTTTCCCCATAGAAACATGCAAATGTTGAAGTATAACTTCTATTATATAAGTATAATTTATGTCACTGCCAGAAGTTTTGGCCACGGGTGTAATGGCTACTGAAAATTCATCTTTTACTTTACAGGAATAAATTCCGTTTTAAAATATATTCGAATAGAAAGCAGTTATTTTAAATTATAATAATGTTTTACAATAATTCAATAAGTCTTTTTTGATCAAATAAAAGACTTTCAAAAACATTTCAAAATCTTACCAAACGTTAAACTGTGGTGTATGGCATGAGATAGAATAGTATTGTTTGTATTAAGGTTCCGGAGGTTTAAATGAGCTCTGTTATAATGATCTATTAAAAAAGCCAGCTTTACTTGATGTCCGCCTCTCTTAATGTTTAATGTTAATTGATCGACTTTTGTGTTCCATATTATAGCAGCTTGTGGCATGTTCCCCTGACATACGTGAATGACAGCTGTAGTGTTCTCAGCTCCTGCAAGCAAGTGTTTCATCTCAAGGACAAAACAGGTGAGCATTTTCCTCAGGACCGAGTTTATGGACGCAGACAGATTATTCCAAACACTGGAGATGATAATATATTGTTTGTTGCTTTAAATGTTTTCCAGCCATATTAAAGCTTCCCGGTGAGGTGAAGTGGTTGAAGTTCAACCTCAGGAATGACGGCTTCTACATAGTGCATTATGATATGGAGGGGTGGAAGGCCTTGATTGATGCTTTGAATGGGGACATAAATGTCCTCCCCTATGAAGACAGAGCAGCTCTCATCAATAATATCTTTGCTCTCTCCAGGTAGATCTGATTTTAATTGAAAGGTTAAAGTTATTAGACAAGACTTAGACAAGAGCTGATGCTGCAGGATTCCTACAATCTTGGAAAACCTGACATTATCAGGGAATCATTCATTTATTATTATTTACCGATAGTTTTTATTGTTGTGATTCAGCTTTAAAGGAGCACTCCGACTTTTTGGGACTTTAGCCTATTCACCTTACCCCCCAGAGTTAGATAAGTCCATACATACCTTTTTCATCTCCGTGCGTGCTATAAGTCTGTTTGACGCACCCACCGCTAGCCTAGCTTAGCACAAAGACTGGATGTGACTGGTTGCAGCTTTCATACTAATCCAAATGAGTGGCAAAATAACGCAAACGTTTTCCTATTTACATGTTGTGATTTGTATAGTCACATAATGTACAAATAACAAAGTCAAATGAGACACAGACATCTTTTAACCGTATAAAACCTGGGAACTATTCTCTGAAGGCGAAGCACTGCTACTTTGGCGGAGTAATAACCGCATCACCTGAGACACGCCGTGGTGAGGAGCGGAGAGTTCGCTCAGTGTTTTGGTAACAGAGTCAGCAATTTATAAATAGTAAAAGCGTAGTTTACAGTCATGGGTTTTCGCTCTATTGTAAATAGCTGCGACAGTAAACAGGGGAGGTAACCATGTTTCACAGAATTCCAACTAAAAACGCTGACTGGATGAAGAAATGGCTAACTTACTTACTCTGGATATTTATCCAAACACACCTAAGATTATCAAGGGACATTATGTTTGCTCGGTACATTTCAATGGACGACTATTTTGAAAAAATGGAATTTGCCACACGGACCATAATGTGCTGAAGGATACGGCCATCCCATCGATAGCACAGACAGGACAAGTGGATCACCTGCGGCTGAGGTAAGTGTTCCGTTATGTTTTTAGATGACCTACTGTAACAGTGCCTTTAGCCAGAGCTAATGTAACGTTAGTGACACTATTATATGATTAGGGTATGAATATGTTTTTATCTTGATGCGGTGCGGACGCGCTTGGGAAAAAAAACGAGCGCGTTCACTGCGTTGAACTTGCACCCTGCGCGCGGCGCGCCTAGTAGCCTAAATTTGAAATAACCATGGAAATAACGAACTTGAGCGTGCAAAAGGGTACGATAGGCTGTGAGTTCATTGTGCAAAAACAATTTGTGCTATTACTTTCCCCTTATTCTATCCTATAGTAATGCAATACTGTATATTATATAGGCTACTGTTGAATACATTTGGTTCAGCTAATAAATTGCATTTAAAATATATTGATTCCTGTAATAATAATTATTTATTCATGTGATATTTATAAATCTGGGTGCGTTTTTGGTTGGAAATCAATGAAACATGGTGCATTACCTGGTCTCCCCTGTTTATTGTCACAGCTCATACAACAAAGCAAACACCCGTGATAAACTATGCTTTTCTATCTAACATTAGTAATGTCTGACTCTTTATTTCAACGCTGAGCGAAGCGAACTCTCTGCTCCTCGTCACGGTGCGTCTCATGTGATTGTTATCACTCTGCCCAAGTAGCAGTGCTTCGCCTTCAGAAAATATAGTATTTATACGGTCAAAAGATGTCTGTGTCTCATATGGCCTTGATATTTGCACAGTCTGTGACTATACAAACCACAACATGTAAATAGTAAAACGTTTGCGTTATTTTGTCACTCATTTGGATTAGTATGAAAGCTGCAACCATTCACATCCAGTCTTTGTGCTAAGCTAGGCTAGCGGTGGGTGTGTCAAACAGACTTATAGCACGCACGGAGATGAAAAAGGTATGTATGGACTCTGGGGGGTAAGGTGAATAGGCTAAAGTCCCAAAAAGTCGGAGTGTTCCTTTAAAATATTTTTATTTAATAATACTGCTATTTGCAATGGCAGTCTCAAAAAATAATACACTATTTTTGAATAATTTAAAAATATGTTTGGAATAATTATTCCTTCATGAACATCTGGAGAAAGAAACACAATGATTGGTGTGGGATCTGAGTGTTGTACATTTGAGAATATTTCATAGTGATGTGATAATACTGTAATACCCATCAAAACTAGCATGCAATGTTTATATGTTTTAATAATTTTTTCAAGAATATTTTCTGGCTGCAGTGTAAAATTAAATGATTTGTCCTTTTTTTATTTTATTTTTTTTATTTTGAAAATTACTACCATTCAAAAGTTTGAGGTCGTGCTCATCAAGGCTGCATTCATTTGATCAAAATACAATAATATAGTTGAAATTTTATTACATTTAAAAAAAGTTCTTATAAATATCTTGTTATGCTATATTATCACCAAATATGGGATTCAATCTTTTTTTTTTTTTTTGGTCAACTTTCAATTAGGACAGACATTGTATTTATTTTTTTAACTGTCTGATTGAAGGCGTCATTGATTTGAGCTTATATTGGTCAAAAATGCCCATCCTTTGAAAATGAAGGGGGGAGATCGAAATTTAGTGTTCAGGAGCATGTTCATCATGTGTATTCACAAATATAAAAGCCTCAGACCTGTGCATGGTTGGAGACATCCGCACACACACACGCACTTATGCACACAAACTATTTAGACAATTACAGGCTTTCTTTTTCAGAGAGATGAACTTTATCCTCAGATCAATGAGCTCTACGATCAATCAGTTTCAAAAATATATACGTTTATTTTTTTGGGGATGCTTAATTATGCTTCATATTTTCTTCTAGATTGGGAAGGGTGTCCTTCAGGCAGGTCTTAAACCTAATGGATTACATCAGAAACGAGAACGAGACAGCTCCTCTGACTGAAGCTCTCTTCCAGCTTGATCAGATTTACAGATTGCTGGACAAAAGATCAGAATTGAACTTGGTGTCTAGAATGACGGTAGGAAACATTTGCAACATCTTATCATATGTAGCTGTTGTATTCAACTGTCTCTCTTTATTTTATCTTAGGACAATGTATTTAGTTCTAAAAGTTGTTTGACTTCAATTTTTGCAGAGTTACATCGACTCCCATTTTGGAAGTTTGATGGAGAGTCAGTCATGGGAACTGGAAACTTCTGTGTCGAAGATAACGCTTCGGTCCGCCCTGCTGGAGATGGCATGTTCCCTCAATAGACTCAACTGCACAACACAGGCCAAACAACTGTTTGATCAGTGGGTCCATTCCAACAAGACTTCTCCGTAAGTCTGAGTAGTGATTGAACCGCTACTCCTGAATTATTTGAATTGCTTCTAGGAAACTGTCATTATTGTTAGTCTGCAAAACTGCATTTTTTTTTCTCTTGTTATATGCTGTATTGTATTAGGATTCCCAGTGATCTCATGAGAACAGTCTTCAAAGTTGCTGCCCAAACAGATGACGGATGGGATGTGCTTCTAAACACATATAAGCACTCCATCTATGACTCGGAGAAGCACAAGACACTGGAAGGTTTGGCCAGCACTCAGGATGTACGGAAAATTCTTTGGTAAGGCTTGGCGACATATTCTGTTGGGAGGGAAAACCTTCCAAGCTGTCAGCACATGCAATATTGAATTTCACTTGGTTTTCCATTTTAGGATTATGAAGAAAAGTCTTGACGGAAGTGAGATTCAAACTCAAGACTTTCCTCTGGTGATCCACACGATTTGCAGGAACTTTGCTGGCTACCTCTATGCATGGGATTTTGTAAAGGAGAACTGGGAAAAAATCACTCAAAAGTGAGTGGTGAACTTTTCATATTTAAAGGGTAACTAAACCCCTGGTCAGAGCTTGACTTCACCCACTGGTAATATTTGAAAAAGTGGGCTGACCCCAGCGGAGATAGAGGGGATGAAATAGATGCTAAAACACTCTATCCTGATCGTTTTCAATACTCGCAATTCCAACTCCTGACTCCCTACAGTGGTTTTGACGAAACAAGCTGGTTTTTATACTGCCGCTCGTGCCAGGAGCGTCACGATGTGCGGAACATCCAATAGGAAAATTCAACTGCAGTAGCCACCGTTCAACCTGAAGAGGGCAGCACTAAGACGTTTTTACACCATATAATGTAGAAATAAAACATCTTATACACAAATGTCAGAAAAGTTACACGAATCAATGACTGGTATTAATAAAGATCCATTCTGACAGATCATTAACTAAAAAAAAAAGTTGGTTTAGTGTTTAGTTACTCTTTAAAGAATAAAAAAACAACTGGAGGAAGGGTTACTTAAATATTTGTTTTTAAGCAACATTTTGAATCTACACACATTTAATGTAAATATTAAACCTTTTCTTATTTACATGCATGTGCATACTTTTTGTGCATAGTAAAGGTAAATAAGAAAAAGAAAATGTTTTTATGAAAACACCATGTAAATAGTGTTCGTCCAGAGTTTGTTTACACGACAACGATGTTCTAAAACGGAAACGGTTTTCCTCTGCGTTTTGTTGCGTACAGATATTGTCAAAACGATCCCCATTCACACGGATCTGTGAAATTAAGTAAACTAAATTTGCTGTATTATTCAGGCCCAGTAGTTGACAAAGTCACTTTGTAAAGAACAAATTTATTTTTCTTGTTTACATGGCGAGGGTAACAGTACCGTTTTCAAAACATGCACTTTGAAAGTAGTTTTCAAAAGCTTTTGTTTTCAGGCACACAAAATGCAATTGTTGTTTAAATGAACATCCAAAACGCAAAGTTTTCCATTTTAAGTTGAAAATGGTGTTGTGTAAACGGCCCCTTAGTGGAGAAAAGTCATAAATGTTTTAAAGGGATACTCCACCGTTTTGTTTTTCATATTGAACTATGTTATTCCCTTAACAAAGACGAGTTGATACATACCTCTGTCGTCTCAGTGCGTGCGCTCAATCGCTCTGGCACGCGAGACACTTTGATCGCACTTAACTAGCCCAGTTCATTCAATATGGGCCAAGCAGAGAAGTGACCAAACACCTCCACGTTTTCCCTATTTAAATACAGTTACACGAGCAGCGTAACTCAACCTAGGACAGTGACGCAAAATAAAACGTTGTGCTTTTCTAAGCATGTAAAGTGGATAACTATATTGTATGGTGGAATACCACAGCAAGAGCTTGGGAGCACTTCGACTCACCGCATATATATCTATGGACTCACTGCAGTAATATCATCACTCCGGAGAGGAAGAGGACTTTTCACGAGTGATGATATTACTGTGCCGAGTCGAAGTGCTCCCAAGCACTTGCTGTGGTATTCCGCCATACAAGTTATCCATTTTACATGCTTAGAAAAGCACAACGTTTTAGTTCGTGTCACCGTCCTAGATCGAGTTACGCTGCTCGAGTAACTGAATTTAAATAGGGAAAACATGGAGGTGTTTGGTCGCTTCTCTGCTTGGCCCATATTGAATGAACTGGGCTAGTTAAGTGCGATCAAAGTGTCTCGCGTGCCAGAGCGTTTGAGTGCCAGCACTGAGACGACAGAGGTATGCATCAACTCGTCTTGGTTAAGGGAATGGTTTAATATGAAAAAACGCTGGAGTATCCCTTTAAGGCCAATATAGAAACCAAGATTTTTATTTTAGATTTTGATTATAGAAACTAAGAATTTAATGTTTTCCCTTTTCCATTTTCTTTATGCAAGGTTTCCTCTTGGATCTTTTCCCATTCAGAGCATCATCATGTCTACAACCAGTCAGTTCTCCACAAAAGCTCATCTTATGGAGGTCTGTTCATCCAAAAAAAAAAAAATCAGATCATCATATAAAAGTCCTCGTTTAATTCATGTTTTTGTACTGAATTATTTTTCACCCTTCTTGTCCAGGCCCAGAACTTCTTCAGTTCTCTTGGGGCGAAAGGCTCTCAGATGAGGATCGTGCAGGAGGCCACTGAGACCATTAAGCAGAACATGCGATGGATGGAGAATAACTTGAGCACGCTCCGGTACTGGTTGTAGTGTGAGGAGGAGACGGCTCCTCTCTTGTGCCTCTCACTCCCTCAGGTGATGTCACCGGGCACATGCAGGTGTTAGTGATATAACCCATATTACAGCCAGAGCCATACACGTACAAACGTTAGATCAAACTCAAAGCAGAAGGGCAGATTTACTGGGATGTAAAGGGCCTTTTAAAAACATCTCTTTTCAGGGCTTCTTATTGGGAATTTTCCAGTGAACTCTAGCCAGAAGCTTACTAGGTATCTGAAAACATTTAGCCTTTCATACCAGCTACGTAAATGTACAAGTCTGGATATTAAGCGTAAAGCAGATGTATTTTCTTTCTTTTAAGTTCTGAGTGAAATGAAAGGGTAAAGTAAGCAGCATATGATTTCCTGTGTCATAACTTTAGTGTTGCTGCTTGGAAAAGGTTGGCGTGATTTCTTTTGGAGGGCCCCAACTCGGTATATGTATGGCTCTGGCCTCAAGCACTATTTGCACTATACAAAAATTCACCTCGCTCAGGGCAAATCTGGTTGTTGTTTAAATATCATGATGCATTTATTCCCTTTTACTTAATGTCGTTGGCTACAGACCAAAACCTCCCATCAGTATCTCTTAAATATGCCCTTATCACGTAATGCCAAAAACAATAGTTGAAATACTGAAATCATGTGACGTCAAGTGATGTCGCAACAAGCCCCTTTCTTCTAAGTATAAAAGTTTTATTTATGTATATGTTGCTTATGTTTTTAATCATTTGCATAGTCTGCAATGCTTGTAATCCAGCACTGTGTAAATGTTATTGCCTGACAAATGTTCCAACTTTCATCCTTTGCACAAGATTTATTTTAAAGTTTAATTTTAGAGTTGAGTGTGTATATTATGTATTGTTTGTGCAGGCTTGCCTATAGGTTAAAGAGAGTTTGTCATTGGAAAGATTAAGTTAGTATTTCTAAAACATAAGCGTGGATTTTATTTTGAGCTTTGCTATGTACGTTCTGATGAAGCTGAAATATTTTAGTTTTCTTGTAAGATATAGAAGAGGCAAAGAAAATGTGAACTCAAACTCGTTTTACCCATATGATTTGGCTCAGAGAGATATTTATATATAGATGTTACCAAGTTTGGAGAAGTCTTTGTGTACAGAGCTTTAGTTAAGGGTAATTTGCTGTCGTCAAATTGCTATAAGACAAAAAAGGCCTCTAAAGTCACATCACTGATGGAGAGTTGTTAGATTTTTTTTACTCCTTGCTCATCTTCACTGGTTGCTACTGATTTTTTTTTTTTTTTTATTCACAGATTTTATAGCTTTTCTGGAATTGTTTTTGCAGAATGCAAATGCATTTGTCAAGACGGACATTTATGCATTTAATTTTAATTTTGTAAACTCATAATACAGGCCACAGATACACGCACACAATTTAGCTTTATTTTAATGAACAAAATCTACTGGGATAGCATCATCAGATGATGATGTGTGTGAATATTTGTATGCATGCATTTCTAATATCGTTTTAGCTCCATACAGATTTTGTTCTTTCCATGCGTGTGAAAATCTTTGCTCACTGTGAGTAAATTAATACACTTCCAGGTTTTTGTTTATAGCTCAGTGCTTTGACCTCATAAAATGTCATATATGACTGGTACATTGTAATACAGCTGGTACATGGTTATTATTTCTTTTGTTGTAGTTATTTTGCCTTTGCTCAGCAGCTTTATTCATATATTCGTGTTAGAAGTGAATGATGGTCTTTATAGGAAGGACAACGGCAGCATTGTTACACTGTAATGGACACTTCTAATGTTAGTTTTGAGCGTTACAGTTATCGATGAATGTATTCATGTTTATTACTATGGATCGGTTTGAACACAAACATTTTGATTGTAATTCCCATGTATTTGAATTCATCTGGATTTCTAATATGGTCAATTAAACACTATGAAGTGTTGAATCAGTTTTCTGAAATTATTTAGATGTCACCGTTTCAGTTGCCATAATTTAGGATTCATATGTCCTTCATGGGGAGTTTTGTGTTATTGGCTGGCATTCACAAAATAAGTATCCATGTAATATTTTTTTTTTCCGTGTGTTTGTGTCGTGGCTGCTTAATAGAAATGCTATTTTGAAAAGATTCCAGATGTTGAACGTTTAAACTTGACAGTTTAAAGGAGAAATATGCTTGCTTGTGAAACATTTGCTGTGTTAAATGACTTGAAAACCTTCTAATGCCTGAAGAAACAATAGATTTATTTGTTTGGCCAGGTTGCAGGGGAAAGTGTCTTATTTTATGTTGTTCAACAGCTTCACACTGGGTTTGGATTCTATGTTTTTAAAATGTTGCTTAATGAAAAACCACTGACCCAACTTTATAAAAGACAAAAAATAAAATAAAATGTGTGCACAAATTCCACAAGTTTTCTGTCTAGATATTCAGTAGATGGCACTGTCTCTCTCTCTCTCTCTCTCTCTCTCTCTCTCTCTCTCTCTCTCTCTCTCTCTCTCTCTCTCTCTCTCTCTCTCTCTCTCTCTCTTGTGCTCTTGTTCTTTTTTCCAAACATTTATGTGCAAGAACACATAATGTGAAATAACCACTGTAAATTAAAAAAAAAAAAAAAAACGTAAATGCATACTGTATGCTCCATATAATGTTTATTTGTGTTCTTAAATACGTATATGCATATTATAGTGATATGATTCTTGTTGGAGCTGATGTTTGTTAAATGAAATAACAACAGGGTAAATAAGGGAGCTTCTAGGTTTTATTTTTATTTTTTTGGTGTTTGCAGGAAGAGTTTTGCTAGTGTTATTTTAAGACTTAAAGTAGAGCATAATAGCTTAGTTATTGTGAGGCATAAATAAAGTTGATCAGACGAGTATCTAAAATGTTTCGCATGCCATAAGTGTTTGGCCTATTATTTACAGGAAATAAATCATCATTTGATATCACGAGAAAAAATTTATCACTAGAGTGTTGGCATGCTTGCTTAGTTATGTCACCTTTGGGTTTGCTTTTAATAAAGTTGCTTATAAATATTGGAGGCCTTGTTTCCAGAATACAATGGTGTATTGGGGCTTATTTTGGGAAGGCTAGTGGCTTCACTATTTCACTTTTTGTTATATGCTGGCCACAAGGTCAACTGCAACTTCATTGATGAGACTGGCTCTTTCCCCTGAAGATGACACTCCATTTGTGGTTGTTGGTGATTTATACATCCACTAGCAAACCACAAGTGACTTAGTTATCCTCTGGACCTATAACAATAATACAATGTATTTTGTACAATAATATGTATCCCTCTGTCTGTAGGGAATACCAATTTGGGTGCTTGAACACTTCTGGTGGCTTCACCGTCTGCTAGCAGTAAACAATATTGGGCAACGCTTTAGATTACAGCCCGGAAAGTACTCCATAATTAAGACAAATTTACAGCGCAACTTTCGGTAATTAAAGTGTAGGCTATAAAGTACGTACATGTAAGTATAAGGGAACAATATATAACGTTGTGGGAATAAAGGGATAACAACCAGGATAATATTTATACTATAAGTATTATAGAACTAAGGGGTACTTTACTTATTCTACTATTATGATACAGAATTATTACATTTAATTAAGCGAGCACATACACTGTGTACATTTTACATACTGTATATAGGCTTTTTAAAAATTAGATATCTGAAATTATATAGTAATTTTTTAACAAAAGTACACTGAAAACTAAAACTATTGCAACTTTTGCTTACAAACTGGGGAAATATACTCTTGTTCCATGTAGTTACAGGGTAAGTGTGACATTACAGGCTATTAATTAAATTGATGCTTGTTACCCTCTTGTTCCATGTTACAGGATAATTACAATGAAAATACATTGCATACACACAATCTAACATCACTGACTCTGAAACCTTTGTTTATTTGTATTTGCCAGAAAGAAATAAAGAAAGAAAGAGTCATGAATATGAAGGAGGTTTTTATGCATGTTAATGACAAATGTCATTAAAACTGCAGTCCGTAGCTTTTTGGGGGTTACAAATGATCCAAAATACATATTTAAGAAAATATATAACCAGCCAGTGTTCAAAACTCTCAGTGAGGCTTACCTTACCTCAATGTAATAATGTTTTTAATTCTAGTGGTAGTGGTGGATTTCCGCTGGAGATTCGAGCATGTCTTTGCATCATTACATCACATCTGTATACATGAAGAAGAGTCTCGGCTAGTATAAGCTATATTGAGTCATTACGTCACGTCTGTACACTTGAAGAAGAGTCGGCTAGTATAAGCTATATTGAGTCATTACGTCACATCTGTACACATGAAAAAGAGTCTCGGCTAGTATAAGCTATATTGAGTCATTACGTCACATCTGTACACTTGAAGAAGAGTCTCGGCTAGTATAAGCTATATTGAGTCATTACGTCACGTCTGTACACTTGAAGAAGAGTCTCGGCTAGTATAAGCTATATTGAGTCATTACGTCACATCTGTACACATGAAGAAGAGTCTCGGCTAGTATAAGCTATATTGAGTCATTACGTCACATCTGTACACATGAAGAAGAGTCTCGGCTAGTAAAAGCTATATTGAGTCATTACGTCACATCTGTACACATGAAGAAGAGTCTCGGCTAGTATAAGCTATATTGAGTCATTACGTCACATCTGTACACTTGAAGAAGAGTCGGCTAGTATAACCTATATTGAGTCATTACGTCACATCTGTACACTTGAAGAAGAGTCTCGGCTAGTATAACCTATATTGAGTCATTACGTCACGTCTGTACACTTGAGGAAGAGTCTCGGCTAGTATAAGCTATATTGAGTCATTACGTCACATCTGTACACATAAAGAAGAGTCTCGGCTAGTATAAGCTATATTGAGTCATTACGTCACGTCTGTACACATGAAGAAGAGTCTCGGCTAGTATAAGCTATATTGAGTCATTACGTCACATCTGTACACATAAAGAAGAGTCTCGGCTAGTATAAGCTATATTGAGTCATTACGTCTCGTCTGTACACATGAAGAAGAGTCTCGGCTAGTATAAGCTATATTGAGTCATTACGTCACATCTGTACACTTGAAGAAGAGTCGGCTAGTATAAGCTATATTGAGTCATTACGTCACATCTGTACACTTGAAGAAGAGTCTCGGCTAGTATAAGCTATATTGAGTCATTACGTCACATCTGTACACTTGAAGAAGAGTCTCGGCTAGTATAACCTATATTGAGTCATTACGTCACGTCTGTACACTTGAGGAAGAGTCTCGGCTAGTATAAGCTATATTGAGTCATTACGTCACATCTGTACACATAAAGAAGAGTCTCGGCTAGTATAAGCTATATTGAGTCATTACGTCACGTCTGTACACATGAAGAAGAGTCTCGGCTAGTATAAGCTATATTGAGTCATTACGTCACATCTGTACACATAAAGAAGAGTCTCGGCTAGTATAAGCTATATTGAGTCATTACGTCACGTCTGTACACTTGAAGAAGAGTCTCGGCTAGTATAAGCTATATTGAGTCATTACGTCACATCTGTACACATGAAGAAGAGTCTCGGCTAGTATAAGCTATATTGAGTCATTACGTCACATCTGTACACATGAAGAAGAGTCGGCTAGTATAAGCTATATTGAGTCATTACGTCACATCTGTACACATGAAGAAGAGTCTCGGCTAGTATAAGCTATATTGAGTCATTACGTCACATCTGTACACATGAAGAAGAGTCTCGGCTAGTATAAGCTATATTGAGTCATTACGTCACATCTGTACACATAAAGAAGAGTCTCGGCTAGTATAAGCTATATTGAGTCATTACGTCACGTCTGTACACATGAAGAAGAGTCTCGGCTAGTATAAGCTATATTGAGTCATTACGTCACATTAGTACACATAAAGAAGAGTCTCGGCTAGTATAAGCTATATTGAGTCATTACGTCACGTCTGTACACATGAAGAAGAGTCTCGGCTAGTATAAGCTATATTGAGTCATTACGTCACATCTGTACACTTGAAGAAGAGTCGGCTAGTATAAGCTATATTGAGTCATTACGTCACATCTGTACACATAAAGAAGAGTCTCGGCTAGTATAAGCTATATTGAGTCATTACGTCACGTCTGTACACATGAAGAAGAGTCTCGGCTAGTATAAGCTATATTGAGTCATTACGTCACATCTGTACACATGAAGAAGAGTCGGCTAGTATAAGCTATATTGAGTCATTACGTCACATCTGTACACATGAAGAAGAGTCTCGGCTAGTATAAGCTATATTGAGTCATTACGTCACATCTGTACACTTGAAGAAGAGTCTCGGCTAGTATAAGCTATATTGAGTCATTACGTCACATCTGTACACATGAAGAAGAGTCTCGGCTAGTATAAGCTATATTGAGTCATTACGTCACATCTGTACACATGAAGAAGAGTCTCGGCTAGTAAAAGCTATATTGAGTCATTACGTCACATCTGTACACATGAAGAAGAGTCTCGGCTAGTATAAGCTATATTGAGTCATTACGTCACATCTGTACACATGAAAAAGAGTCTCGGCTAGTATAAGCTATATTGAGTCATTACATCACATCTGTACACATGAAAAAGAGTCTCGGCTAGTATAAGCTATAATGAGTCATTACATCACATCTGTACACATGAAGAAGAGTCGGCTAGTATAAGCTATATTGAGTCATTACGTCACATCTGTACACATGAAGAAGAGTCTCGGCTAGTATAAGCTATATTGAGTCATTACGTCACATCTGTACACATGAAGAAGAGTCTCGGCTAGTATAAGCTATATTGAGTCATTACGTCAAAACTGTACACATGAAGAAGAGTCTCGGCTAGTAAAAGCTATATTGAGTCATTACGTCACATCTGTACACATGAAGAAGAGTCTCGGCTAGTATAAGCTATATTGAGTCATTACGTCACATCTGTACACATGAAGAAGAGTCGGCTAGTATAAGCTATATTGAGTCATTACGTCACGTCTGTACACTTGAAGAAGAGTCGGCTAGTATAACCTATATTGAGTCATTACGTCACATCTGTACACTTGAAGAAGAGTCTCGGCTAGTATAAGCTATATTGAGTCATTACGTCACGTCTGTACACTTGAAGAAGAGTCTCGGCTAGTATAAGCTATATTGAGTCATTACGTCACATCTGTACACATAAAGAAGAGTCTCGGCTAGTATAAGCTATATTGAGTCATTACGTCACATCTGTACACATAAAGAAGAGTCTCGGCTAGTAAAAGCTATATTGAGTCATTACGTCACATCTGTACACATAAAGAAGAGTCTCGGCTAGTATAAGCTATATTGAGTCATTACGTCACATCTGTACACATAAAGAAGAGTCTCGGCTAGTAAAAGCTATATTGAG